CTTCTTCAAGTTGCTAACTTAGTGATCCTTGTATCTGCTGCTCTCAACATTTGCAGAAGTTATTTTGAAATGCATTCCCTCCAGATAGGAGTATTTGATGCAGTATCTGGATACCATATATGTTATATTTTGTAGAAAGAAAAATCACAAATTACTTTTTCTTATAGAATGTTACACTTAGATAAAGGTGTGCATCTGTTATCATCTTATCCATTTATCCTACAGCATATTTCCTATGCTTTCTCTAATCTAGTTTCTTTGTTTTAAGGTTACAGTCAGTACTCTAAAGACCCTATTTCACATGTTTATCCCAGGGTGATAATGAGACTACAGCTAAAAAAAATTCCCAGCATTCAAATTAAATATCATCATATTTATTTATATCACCCTAAATAATTTCTGTCCATTCCTTGAATTTACATTCTTCAGGTTTTGGGAACAGGTATGTTTCCTAGTCTTTGGTGTTAAACAAACCATACACATTTAGCTGTTATAATCTTATCAAACCAGCTCCTTTAGACCAGGGGTGGCCAAACTGTGGCACAAGTGCTACAAGTGGCACAGACAGCCTCTCTGTGTAGCATGTGACAGATCAGAAAGGGGACAAGAAGTACATTGGCAGATAGGGCAAGAAGGAGAAAGCAGAGAAGTAAATTGGGTAGGGAGCATACAGCAAAAAGAGAATTGGAGCAGCGGATTGGCCATGGAAAATGGACTGCAGTGGTATTCAGGGAGGGCTAATTTGTGGCACACCTGACCAAAAGGTTGGCCCCCTCTGCTTTAATCTATCATTGCTCTTCTCAAAGCTCCCTCCAAAGGACGTGTATCTTTCTGAAGTTGTCATCTGGAACTGAATGGATTTCCCCCTGTGGTCTTACAGCAATCATCTATAGCAATGGTGCTTAACCTTTTTCCCTGGGGCCAGATGGCTGGTCCGTGGGCCAGATCTGGCTGGTAGTCCCAATCCAACACTCAGGGCAAATGCAGTGAGCACTATCCAG